CAGCCGGGACTGGGGACAGAGGCCTTCCGGCCTGAGCAACCTGGACAGGGGGCCCAAGCCACTTAGGGTCGAAATCTACAAACGGATGATGCAGAACATGCTTTGCTCAGGAAACTACCAGATTGACTGGAGATACGGGGTTAAAGAAAGTTTAGGAAAATTCAAGAATTACAAATGATTTATCCTCTCTCAATTCTTCTTCCCAGAAAAGTTTTGGGGTGGGGGAAGCTCAGGTCCCTGGGAGTCCCTGGTCTTCTCATCTTCGAGCAGCGGTAATTCCATACACTTTAGCAATTCCGACCTCTTTCCTCCCTCCCTCCCACAAAACCCACCTCCCTGCCATCTGTAGGGCAACCAAGTGTTCTGATGCCGCCTTCGGAACTTCCGCCCTTGATTTATATTAAGACTAACATTTAACATCTGTTGGTTAAATCACTGCTATGAAAATAGAGCCAATCTCTGATGATAAAGGCATTCAGGGCATTTGTTTCCTGGACTAGTCTTATTTCCCTGCTCATTTCACTAGGGTTCACATATCTAACTTCTCATCCCCTTTCAACTCACCCCTGATTTTGTTGGTAATGGTGACTAAGCCTCTTTGCCTCTGATTACCCCAGATATGGACAACAGACCTGTGACCCTGATAAAAGGCAGGCCTGGAGACATGGAGTTCCTGCTTCCCATCCCACACCCGTCCTGCCCTATCGACTTAAGGTTCAAACTGAAGCTTAAGGATGTGATGCCTGGAGCCCCAGCAGCCATCTTATACACGAGAGGGGGTGAGCCCGCGGCCTGTGGTGAAAGGGTAACAGGGTAAGGAAGGCCGAGAGGAAGGAAAGGAAGATCTCCAGACACACTGGAGACCTACTTCCTGCAGTATTTTGGTTTTCCAAAATTGTTAGTTCAAAACTTTAATCCGCTATTATGGATCGAATTTTTGTGTCCCTCCTCAAATTCATATGTTGAAGCCCTAACCCTCAGTGGATGATATTTGCAGATGAGGCCTTTGGGAGGGGATCAAGTCCTCGAGTGGGGGGAGGGGATGACCGGTGCTGATCTGATGATGAGATGAATGCTTTTATAAGAAGAGACACCAGAGAGATTGGTTTCACTCTCCATGAGCAGGCAGGAGGAAAAGTCATGTGAGGACACAGTGAGAAGGCAGCTGTCTGCAAGCCAAGAGGAGGCCTCTCACCAGGAACCAAACCCTGCCACAACCTTGATCTTGGACTTTCCAGTCTCCAGAACTGTAATAAAATAAATGTTTGTCGTTTAAGCCTCCTGGTCTGTGATATTTTATTATGGCAGCCCGAGCAGACTAAGATACCCACTTTTAGTCAAGGACTTTGTTACAAGGAGCTGCGAGAATCCTAGTTGCCTTGAGATTTGTTAGAAAGAAAACGGAGAACTTTGAAACATATTTTAAGTATGATGATCTTCAAGAAGGATCAGGCCAAAATGGAATTCGCTGTGATACTATCAGACTTTTAATTCAGTTAAGCAAACTTAGGACTTACAAGACAGAGACAGAATCTGACATATATCCCTGCCTAAGAAGTTCACAGCCAAGTGAAGGAGACAGACAAATTAACAATCACATTACAGGTTGGTAAGTGCTAAGCTGGGGGTGAGCACACTGCTGAGGGAACACCTAGCCCAATCCATGAGGGAAAAGAGTCAGAAAGACTTCTTAGAAAAGGTGACACAAAGCTGAATCTAAAAGTATGAGTAAGTCTTTGAACAGATGAAAAAGTCAAGTTGTTCCAGGCAGAAGGAACAGTTATGGACCAAGGCGCGGAGTCAGTTCAACAGCTTATTATGTGCAAGGGAACTCGAAGAAATGTATTGTTGCTGGAGCATGGAGTCAGACAAGACAAGTGAGGAGGTCAACTAGAGGCCAGCAGAGCCAAAACATGGAGCATCTGCAACGCTAGACTAGAAGTTTGGACTTTGCTCTCTATGTATATACAGTCACGAGCCACTCCATGTTGGGGATGCGTTCTGAGAAGTGCGTAGCTAGGCAATTTTGTCCTTATGCAAACATCAGAGTACTTACACAAACCTAGATGGTCTAGCCTACTACACACTCAAGCTATATGGTATAGCCTACTGCTCCTAGTCTATAAAGCTGTACAGCACATCACTGTAAAAAACAACACGAGATTAAATCAAACAGAAGAGAAAATGATGCAATCAAGAGAGGCAGTAAACACAAGATGTATGATGTTGCTGCTGGTGTAACATGGCATACTGTTTTACAGCAAATTTTTTTTTCTTATAAGTAGAAAGAGAACACGCTAAAATAATGATAAAACATATAGCACAGTAAATGTTACATAAACTAGTAACATAGTCATTTATTATTATCAAGTATTATGTACAGTACATAATTTTATGTGCTATACTTTTATACAACTGGCAGTGCAGTAGGTTTGTTTACACAAGCATCACCACAAACACGTGAGTAATGCTTTGTGCTATGATGTCACAACGGCTATGATGTCACTAGGCAATAGAAATTTTTCAGCTCCATTATGATCTTATACGACCACTTTCGAACATGTTATCTGTCACTGACCAGAACATCATTATGCAGAGCATGATTGTAATAAGATTTATCATGAGGAATTAACTCACTTGATTATGGAGGCCGAGAAGTCCCATGATCTGCCATCTGCAAGCTGGAGGGCCAGGAAAGCCGGTACCGTATTTTGAAGGTCCGATAGCTGGGAAGCCGATAGTGTAGATTCCAGTCCAGGTTAGAAGGCCTGAGAACCAGGAGCACCAAGGGCAGAAAATGAATGTCTCAGCTGAACAGGGAGGCAGGAAGAGAATTCCACCTTCCTCCACTGTTTTGTTCTACTCAGGCCTTCAGGGGATTGGACGAGGCTCCCCCACATTGGGAAGGGCCATCTGTTTCACTCAGTCTACTGGTTCACCGATTCAAATCCTAATCTCTTCCAAAGATCCTCACAGATACACCCAGAAATAATGGTTAACCAGATATCTGGACATCCCATGGCCCAGTCAAGTCGATACATATAATTAACCATCACGGAGGGAAAGAAAGGAAGACATTGAATTCAAATCAGTTAGTCCCAGACTTCTACATCGCATGGACCGATGAAATGAAAACAAAAACAAAACCCACAGGGAACCCCCATATAGTGGAGTAGCATGGTTGCCAGTACAGACTTTATACATCAGCTTCTGGCTTCCAGAGAAAGTCTCATTCAATGTGCAGAATTTGGGGGAATTCTTTTCATTCTGAACACTATCCCATGAGGCTCCACCGAGTGAGGAGAAAAGCATGTGATTTCTATGCCACCTATGGCAGCCAGGTGCCAGCACAGTTAGGCCTCAGGCAGTGACGCTTTCCAGCCGTAAGGCAGACTGGGGATCAGGACGGCTCAGCGACAAAGCTGGACTGCTTTGCAAGGCCTTCAGTGGAGGGTGTTAACAATCTATTTTGAGCATTATGACTTTTCTGAATGCTAAAGATATCCCTATTCGAATATAAGTTAAAATATCAGCTATCATATAGGGATTATCTATTTCTCTTCCCAACTCTGAAATAGCATGGATAATGGACTTGACGTAATTAAGTGCTGAAATTTTAGACAGCAAACATTGAGGAGTGGAGATAGGCTTATTTAGGGGTGAGAAAATATTCTAAACCATTTACTTTGACAGCATTCCAAGTCCTTTGGGCGAGGCAGCAGAGTAGAGGACACCAGAACACAGTGGTTTGGGTCAAAACTGGCTCCACTACCGAGCATCTGGGTCACGTTGGGCAAGTGACTTCTCCGTGCTAGGTTTCCTCCTCTGCAAAAAGGGATGATAATAATAATACAGCTAATCATACGCTTATTGTAGCAATTCATTTAATATGTATACTTAGAATAGTGTCCGGTATGTTGTAAGCATGATGAAATGCAGGCTGTTATTTAATCAACAATAAAAACTTGTCTCTCTCTTGCCAGCATAGATGAAGTAGTTTTAATGTTGACGTGGACTGTTGGGGTTCTGAGTGGATCCATTTCGTCTGCTTTGTCCCCATCCCCCAGCCGCTAGGAGTGTTGGCTGCTAATGGCTCCCAGGCACCCCCTTCTGTGGAGGACTGCTCTCAGGTACAGGAGCCTTCTTTCCTAGAAGATTACACACACACGCTCCCTCCACCCCCAAGGGCAGCTCACAGCTAATGAGCGACACAGGAAAACAGAAGTCTGCCTCCTTGCCTCAAATGAAACCACTGGTGAGGTACAATTCCCACTCCAAATCTTCTCGTGGGATCGGGCTGAAGCCAAAGCCCAGCTGCCATCATGTCCTTGATCAGCCCCTTCCCCTGCCCTCTCTGAGAGCTCTTCTGTGCTACGTCATCAGGTGTCCACACATCTCTGCCTTAGTCCCTGCTTCTAAGGACCCTAACCTAAGACAAATGTCAATGTGTTACTGGGGAGAACACTGGACTTTAGAGCCAAGATCTCTTTGAATTTCTTGCCAGTGCCATAGTAATATTATTTTATAAGAATCTTATCACTGTGGCATTTTTCTTTTTAATAGAATTAGGTAGAAATTCATACATTCATTCACTTTAGCCTCGAGTGCTCGATACGTACCACGCATTGTACTAGACCTAGTGGCCATACTTAGATGACTTGTTTTCAACAGGGTAGAAATAGAACCTCGGCATATCCAGTGGATTAGGTCCAAGCTTCACAAGACCCTGAACAATCATGAAAAGCCACTTTCATTTGAGTACCAGAAATAGTTGTCCTTAGAACAACTGATTTAATTTTTATCTTAGGGACACCGTGAATTATGAAACCAATCATGTCATCTGTGCTTTGCTGAAAACTTCAAAGACAAATATATGGCATGCTTCTGGTAAGTGTATAGGATCTTGAAGCATGAATTCTAATGACCTCATCTATTATTCCTACTTTTGTTTTCCAGTTTCCTTGATTAACTTGTTTATTTTTATCCTGTTTGAATTTGTGTAAGTTGCCTAAAATTCTTTTTCTTTTCTTTTTTTTTTTTAACAATTTGGGTTTTGGATATAAAGAAGTGAAACTTAAAGCTGCAGACTGTAAGTTTTTTCTCATGATGCTAATAATCCTCTAAACTGCTCAAACTCACTTCTAGGACACAGGGCGCCGGCCACTTAGGAAGACAGACTGTATAACAGCATTCCGTGACTCGACCTTCAGTGAATCAGGTGTGGTGGAGATGTGACTTGTCTTATAATGGACTGCAATCAGTTTGAGAATGTTTCTAATTCAAGTTCTACACTTTTGTTCAGGTCCTTATTGCTTTGCATGACATTCTGGAGATCAATGCTTGGTCTCTATTGCAAAGCACCGGCAAAAACCACAGTTTCTCCCTCTCAAACATTCCCCGAAGATGGTTAAAAACGGTTATGGGACCTAGTAGACTGTTTCAGTCAGGGTCCAATCAGAAGACAGAAAACACACAGTCATTTGAACAGGGAAATTTTAAGAGGAAGAATGTTAATGGGATTAAAGTGACAAGAGTTTGACTAGTAAGTAAAGAGGCAACTGCTACTCACAGATTCCAAGAGGAGAGGACATGCCACACCACTGGGAGCCACACTGAAAAGCACCAGTGTCAGTCATAAGGCAGAGGGAGGGGAGGCAACTATGGGAAAGAGCTTTTACTGTGGTTTCTGAGGGAAAGGATGTGTGAGGCAGGCCTGGCAATCAAGTGTGCGATTAGCTAGTTTGAGCAATTTCAAGAGGCTCTGGGACATAAGTGCCGTCCCTAACTGCCTGGTACCTGGCCCTGGGGTGATTAGAGCAGGGGGACTGTGTGACAGCGCATAAAGGAGGTAGTTGGGGATAAGGGTTCTGGATTGGTTTGCGTTTGTAAAGCATCTCACAGGCGAGTTCGTTACTATCTCTAGGAATTGGCTAACCCTGGGACGGGCGCCAGATGTCAAAGCATCAGAATACAGAACTTAAAAGACATATTTCACGTACTTAGCAGCCCAGCCATAGAAGACACTGCCTGCTCAGGAGCCAAGCCCTAGGGAAAGTTTTGCTCTGCAGAAGGCTAGCAAGCGAGGCACACCAGACGTGGAAGAGAAACCCCTTTCTCCTCCAGCACCTCTCCAGCACTCTGCAGACAAGGATTAACGTTGTGCTCATTGGTAAGGGA